CCGTAAGTGCAGTCTTTTTTTAGCCTGCAGTCATAATTGTGTCTTGCATCCACTCATGTTTTCAGTCAGCGCAGAGCAGTGCATGCCTGCGTGCTGAGAAGGTTCGGCGGTCTCCAAGTTTTGGGCCTAGCCCTTGGGCGAGTTGAACAGCGTCCTCCATGCCGTGGTCTCCAAAATTATCGTTGCCGTGCCAAAGTTTGTGTCGGCGACCGTCCGACGGCGCCCGTCCCTCTCCATTCTCATCCGCCCCTCCCCCGCACTCCCCCTCTCCAGCCCTACCCCGCGCCCTCCCTCCCCCCCGTCCCTCGGCAGCCATGGTGGTCCAGGCGGCGATCAACTGGACTCGCCATGGCTGCGGGAGTCATGCGCCGCCAGCGCGCCTCCCCGACGCCGATGCTGGCGCGCGCGACGGGCGGCCCCCGCGATGGCGCCGCCGCAGAGGCGACGGCGCGGCTGGGTCCGTGCTGCGCTGGCGGCCTGCCGCTGCTGCTCGGCCGTCCGCGCTCGGGGCGGGCCTGCAACGCCCTAGAGGCCGCTCCCCGACGCCGATGCTGGCGCGCGCGACGGGCGGCCCCCGCGATGGCGCCGCCGCAGAGGCGACGGCGCGGCTGGGTCCGTGCTGCGCTGGCGGCCTGCCGCTGCTGCTCGGCCGTCCGCGCTCGGGGCGGGCCTGCAACGCCCTAGAGGCCGCTGGTCACGGCGACGCCGGCACGGGCCGCAGCGGCGCCAGCAGCGGCGCCAGCAGCGGCTGCGGCGCCAGCAGCGGCGGCAGCGGCGGCACCACGGATGCAGGAGTCCGCGGCGCCGGCGATGGCTGCGGTGCCAGCAGCCCCAGCAGCGGCAGCAGCAGGGCAGGGGGCGGCGGGCCCGCCTCAAGGCCGCTCGACGGGGCCAGGCGCCGCGGGCGCAGCTTCTCCTCGGTCAGCAGCCTGGGAGACCGGTCTCACCTGGAGGTGCGCGCTGGCAAGATCGCCGTGTCCGGCCGCTACCATGAGCAGACCCATCGGATAGAGCAGGACTACGACATCCACAGGGCGGTCTGCGGCGTGGGCCAGAGTGGGCAGGTCCGCGTGGCCACTAGGAGGGGCTCGCCGCGGGGGCGGCGGAGGTATGCCGTCAAGGCCTTCGATGTCGCCGCCGCCTCGGAGTTCTCTCGGAACATGTGGGCGGGCGAGGTCGAGGTCTTTCTGTGCATGGACCACCCGCACATTGCCCGCCTGTACGATGTGTACGATCAAGGGAACATGCTGTATCTAGTAATGGAACTCATGGAAGGAGGTGAGCTGTTCGACCGGGTGGTGAAGCAGAGGGCCTTCTCGGAGCCGGCAGCGGTGGAAAGCACCACGCAGATCCTCTGGGCCCTGAACTACCTGCACAAGCACAACGTTGTGCACCGCGATTTGAAGCCTGAGAACATAGTGTTCGACAGGAAGGACAGCAGCGTCCTCAAGCTGATCGACTTTGGGTTCAGCAGGATCTGGGAGCCCGGAGTGAACATGGAGGCCGAGTTCGGCTCACCTGGGTACATGGCGCCAGAGGTCCTGACCGGCAGTTACACCAGCCAGTGCGACCTGTGGAGCTTGGGCGTCATTGTCTTCGTTATGCTGTGCGGCTATGCGCCCTTCCCCGGCTCCCGGGCCGAGAAGAGGGCCAACATCAGGCAGGGAAAGTTCCACATGTGCCCGAAGCGCTGGGCCCACGTCTCGAAGGACGCCCAGGCGTTCACCAGGAGCCTGCTGGTGGTGGATCCGTCCAGCCGCCTAAGCGCGCGGGCCGCCATGGACCACCCGTGGCTCGCCCAGCAGCACCCGACTAGCTTCTGGAGGCGCGAGGCGAAGCTGAACGGGTCGGTGGTCACGGCGCTGAGAGAGTTCGGGCGGGCCTCCAAGTTCCGCCGCTGCTGCCTCGAGATGATCGCCTGGTCCCTATCCAGCGAGGAGTGCGAGGGGGTGCTCGAGCATTTCAGGGCAATGGACCAAAGCAGGCAGGGGACCATCACGCTGTCCGAGCTGCAGGCCGCACTGAGGCGTGGGTTCGGGGTGCCCGACTCGGAGGTCCGCCAGATCTTCACCGCCATGGACACGAACAGTGACGAGGATCGCCGGCGCTTCCCAGAGGGGAAGGCAGAGGGGGCGAGTCTCCTCAGAAGGCTCAGAAGGCCTCTGGCCTTCTCAGAAGCTCTCTGATCAGCCTCCCCCGAAGCCGCAGAATGCTCCTCAGAAGGCCGGAGGGCTCCCGAGAAGCCCCGCGTCCTTCTGAGAGTGCCCGCCCCCTCTGAGGCCCCCTTCTCTCACTCTTCCGGGAGCGACAGGGTACCGATGCCGCTGCTCCCTGGACCTCTCCCGGGGTGCATGCTGACAGGAGTCTCGCGGATAATCCAGCCTTGGCGACGAGAGCTCTCCACGACGAGCGGCGGCATCGGCACCTTCTCCTTCCGCCGAGAGGAAATCCACTACTCCGACTTCCTGGCGGCCATGGTCAGCACCTTCGTTGATGTTGGAAGCACAGGGACTTCTGTGGTTGAGTTTTCATTTCTACAGAACCCCTCCTCCGGGGCACATGGTGTTTTTTCAGTTGAAGTGCCCTTCCCAGGCTCGCACACTGTTTTCTGGTCAAGGGAAGTTTTGGGTCTCAGAATCGGGTTGTTGGCCCCCGGTTTACAACAACAACGGCTCCCGCCTAATACTTCCTCACAGTTTATTCACAAATCGCGCTCTCGCGTGGATTTCCTCACAATATATGCAGGAATCGCGCTCTCGCGTGGGTCCTCTTCGCAGTTTATTCAGACGCCGCGCCCTCGGCGCTCAGGTACCACGCTCTCGCTGTGGATTTTCTCACGATTTACTTGGGAATCGCGCTGTCGCTGGAGACTTCCTCGCGATTCATGCAGGACGCACGCTTCAGCAACCCGCCTGCTCGACCTGGCCGCCTGGGCCCGCCTTCTCGACCCGCCCGTTAGGGTCTATCCGCCCGAACTGTCTGTCTGGTTCTGCCACGTGTTTTCTGCTCCTAGCCCCTTCTGCTCCTGAAAGAAAACTCCTGATAATGTCTGTCGGTCTCTATCCTCCTCCTTCCCCTTGTCCCTTCCATCCGTCCTCTCTTCCTGTACCTCAGGGGCTGCACGAAATACACGTTGCATGAGATAAAAGCGAACAGTCTTAAACTGATTGTCGTTGTTATTGTTGTCGTCGTCGTTGTTGTTGATGTTGTATTCTGATTTCCAAATAAGAATTATTATTGGTCGCTCCTCCTCCTGGGGCTCGCCCCCCCGTTTTTGCAAGGGAAGGTCTTGGGGCTCAGATGGGGCTCCTAGCCCCCGACTTACAATAAGAACCGTTCCCGCGGGATATTCCATCATAGTTTATTTCACAATGGCGCTCTCGCGGGGGATTCCCTCACAATGTATTCAGAAATCGCGTTCTCGCGTGGGAAGTCCTCGCAATCTATTAGACGTCGCGCCCTCGACTCTCAGGAATCACGCTCTCGCTTTGGCCTTTCTCACCATCGCTCGAGACTTCCTCGCGATTCTTGCAGGACCCATCCTTCAGCAGCCCGCCTGCTCGACCTGGCCGCCTGGGCCCGCCTTCCCGACCAGCCTGCGAGGGTCCGCCCGCCCGACCTGCCCGTCTGGCTCTGCCACGTGTTTTCTGCTCCTAGCCCCCCTCCTGCTAATTTATCTCGTGCTCTATTGTTGTCCTTCCCCCTTCCATCAGTTATCTCTTCCCCTGCTTTAGGGCCTGCGCTAATTGCACGTGGCAGGTGAGGAATCCATCCCCTTAAAAGGGGCACGATCGAAGACGAAGATGGCGGGTACCGAGGGTTTGGGTTGTACGGGTATGCGTGGTGAATGGTACGCCAGCAGATGGGAGCGAACAGTCTTAAACCGATTGCTGAATTCTCACTTCTGAAGAAGAATTATTGTTGATCCCTCCCCCACCAGTGCATACTGTTTTTTCTTAATCAAAGTGTGCCCCTCGACGCTCGCATCCTTTTTTGACAAGGCAAATATTGATGCTCAAACTGGGCCCCTGGCCCCCAGGTTACAACAACAACGGCTACCGCCTGAGACTTCTTCCAAATTTGCTCAGGACCCCCGCTCCCGCCCGAGACTTCCTCGCATTTTTTTCAGGAATCGCGCTCTCGCTTGGGAATTCCTTACGCTTTATTCAGGAATCGCTCTCCCGGCGCTCTGGAGTCGCGCTCTCGCTGGAGACTTGCTTGCAATTGACTGACGAATAGCGCCCTGCGTTGGAATTTTTTACAATTTACTCAAGCGCCGCGCTCCCGACACCCAGGCACCCAGGAGTCGCGCTCACGCTTAGGACTCCCTCACATATTACCTAGGAATCGGGATCTCGCTGCCCTTCGTGGCCCCGTTGCCCTTCGTGGCCCCCTCGCTTTGTTTCGTGGCCCCGTTGCAGCCTTTCGTGGCCCCCTCGCTCCCCTTCGTAGCCCCGTTGCAGCTTTTCGTGGCTTCGTCGCTGCCCTTCGTGGCCCCGTTGCAGCCCTTCGTGGCCCCCTTGTTTGTTTCGTGGCCCCGTTGCAGCCCTTCGTGGCCCCCTCGCTTTGTTTCGTGGCCCCGTTGCAGCCCTTCGTGGCCCCCCTCGCTCCCCTTCGTGGCCCCGTTGCAGCCCTTCGTGGCCCCCTCGCTGCCCTTCGTGGGCCAATATATGTATGCCCTTTGTGGCCCCCGCTCGTTCGCGCCCGTGGTGGCCCCATATGCATGCCCTTCGTGGCCTCGCTGTCGCCCTTCGTGGCCCCCTCGCTGCCCTTCGTGGCCCCGTTGCTGCCCTCAGTGGCCCCGTCCTTGCCCGCTGCGGCCCAACATACGTATGCCCTTCGTGGCCCCCGCTCGTTCGCGCCCGTTGTGGCCCCATGTGCATGCCCTTCGTGGCCCCGCTGTCGCCGTTTGTGGCCCCCTCACTGTCCTACGTGGCCCAGTTGCTACCCTCAGTGGCCCTATCGTTGCCTTCTTTGGCCCCGCATTGTCTGCCCTTCGTGGCCCCCGCTCGTTCGCGCTCTTCGTGGCCCCATACGCACTCCCTTCGTGTTCCCGATGTCGCCCTTCGTGGCCTACTTCGTGTCCTTCGTGGCCCTGCTGTCGTTCTCTCTCGCTCTCGCTTTCGCTCTTCGTCGTCGTCGCCGTCGTCGTGGTCGGTCCCCTGTCCGTCCCTCTTGGGGTCGGGTCGACGGTGCGCGGCCGCCCCGCCGATCAGCGCTGCCAGGCCGACGGTCCGCGGCCGCCCCGCCGCTTGCTGGGGCTCAGCCTGCAGGGAAGAAAGGTACACCCCCCAAAAGGAATTCGATTGAAGACGAAGAGGGCGGGTATCGAGGGTTTGGGAAATACGTGTTATTGGACACTCGAGCAGATAAGGGCGAATAGTCTTAAAATGATTGTTTTTGTTGTTGGTGTTGTTGAACATTCATTACAGAAGAATTATTTTTGTTGATCCCCCCCTCCGGTGACCATTGTGTTTTTTCAATTGAAATGCTCCCCCGGGGCTCGCACCCTGCTTTTTACCAGGGAACGTCACGGGGCTCAAACTGGCCCCCTGGCCCCTGGTTTACAGCAACAGCGGCTCCCGCTTGATATTGCCTCCAATTTATTCCCCAATCGCGCTCTCGCGCGGGACTTCCGCACAATTCATGTGCGCATCGCGCTCTCGCGTGGGAGTTCCTTGCAATCTATTCAGACGATGCGCCCTCGGCGCTCAGGAATTACGCTCTCGCTTTTGCTTTTCTCACGACTTATTTGGGAGTCGCGCTGTCGCTGGAGACTTCCTCGCGATTCTTGCAGGCCGCACGCTTCAGCAACCCGCCTGCTCGACCTGGCCGCCTGGGCCCATCTTCTCGACCTGCCCGCTATGGGTCTGCCCACCCGATCTGCCCGTCTTGTTCTACTTGTTGTTTTCTGCCCTTTGCCCCCCTACTGCTAATTTCTATCGTGCTCCATTATTCTCCCTCCCCCTTCTCCCCGTCTTCTTTTCCCTTGTTTTACGGGCTGCACTAAAAGCACGTGGCAGGTAAGGAATGTATAGACCCCAAGGGGGTACGATCGAAGACGAAGAGGGCGGGTACCGAGGGTTTGGGATATACGTATTGATTGGCACGTGAGCAGATAGGAGCGGACAGTCTTGAACTGATTGTTGTTGTTGTTGTTGTTGTTGTTGTTGCTGTTACTGTTGTTGTTGTGGTTGTGGTTGGGGCTGTGGTTGTGATTGTGGTTGTAGTTGTTGTTGCTGTCGTCGTCGTCGTCGTTATTGTTGTTGCTGCTGCTGTTGCTGCTGTTGTTGCTGTTGCTGTTGATGTTGTTGGTGAACTTTCTTTTCTGAAGACTAATTTCCGCTTCGCCTTTTTTCCAATTGAAGTGCCCCTCCCGGGGCTCGCACCCTGTTGCTTAGCAGGGAAGGTCTTAAGCCTCAAATTGGGCGGCGGGCCCCCGAGTTACAACAACAAGGGCTCCCACCTGACACTTTGCTCCCACTTTTTCATGAGGAATCAGGCTTCCGCTTGAGACTTCCTTGCGACCTACTCAGAAATCGCGCTCTCGCTCGAGGCCTCCTCGCAATTTATTCAGATGCCGCTCCTCGACACGGGCGGCGGGCCCCCGAACAACAACAACACCACCACCACCGACAACAACACAACAAACACAACAACAACATCAGCAACACCAACACCACCACCAACAACAACAAAACAACATCAACAACAACAGCCATAACAACAACAACAACAACAACGGCTCCCGCCAGATACTTCTTCACGACTCCATGAGGAAGTAGAGTTTCGCTTGGGATTTCCTTGCGATCTACCTAGGAACTGTGCTCTCGCTTGAAACTCCTTCACACTTTCTTTCGATGCCGCCCCTCGACACTCATGAATCGCGCTTTCGTTTTGGGCTTACTCCAGATTTGCTTCGGGGTTGCGCTCTCGTTGAAGATCTCCTTGCGATTCAAGCAGGACTCATACTTCAGCGATCCGCCCGCTCGACTCGTCCGTTGGGGCCTGCCCGCCCGCCCCGTCCGTCAGGGATTGCAGTCACCTCTCGCTGCCCTTCGCCCGCTCTCGATGCCCATCGCTGCCCGCAGTGGTTCCGCGGTCGCCTTCGCTCGCGCCTTTCGTGACCCCGTTGCTGCCCTTTGTGGCCCCGCATTGCATGCCTTTCGTGGCCCCCGCTCGCTCGCGCCCGTCGTGGTCCCATGTGCATGCCCTTCGTGGCCCCGCTGTCGCTTCTCGTGGCCCCCTCGCTGCCCTCGTGGCCCCATTACTGCCCTTGGCGGCCCCGCTGTATGCTCTTCGTGGCCTCCGCTCGCTCGCGCCCGTCGTGGCCCCATTTGCATACCTTGGTGGCCACGCTGTCGTCCTTTGTGGCCCCCTCGCTGCCCCTCGTGGCCCTGTTGCTACCCTCAGTGGCCCCGTCGCTGCCCTCTGTGGCCCCGCATTGCATGCCTTTCGTGGCCCCTGCTCGCTCGCGCCCGTCGTGGCCCCATACGCATGCCCTTCGTGGCCCCGCTGTCGCGT